GCGAGAGAGATAGAGAGAGAGAGAGAGAGAGAGAGAGAGAGAGAGAGAGAGAGAGAGAGAGAGAATGATGTAATTAATTAATTTATTTAATTTATTGTATTTCAGGTTTCTGAAGATCAGCAGCTCATAGATTTCATCAGATCTCAGTTCAATTTTTTCATGGAAGAACAAACAATTACCAATAATAATAATAATATTAATAATAATAATAATAATTCAGGCACCACAGATTCATTTTCATCTGATCTTCATCCAAATAATAATAACATTAATAATAATAATAATATTTTCCAGCACCAAATAATGACATCATCATCGGACTTTCCGAAAGTCGACAATCAAATCGACTGCATGGATAACAATCTGCCTCAAGATATCTCCATTGACAGAATCCATCTCTCCACTAACCCTAGTTTGCAGCATCAGCAGTTCGTAGTCAACTCGGAAAACGGCAACGGTGGAATATTCTTAGAAGGTGCCGATTTCACTCCCTCGATCGAGAATAATAATAATAATAATAATAACGAGCTGGATCCGACGCAGATGAACGAAGATTCCTCTAATTTTAGATGCGAAAATAACCGATCGGACGAATCCGACCCTAACGACGACGAGTTCGATGCTAAGTATCGAAGAAGAACCGGAAAAGGACCTCAATCGAAGAATCTACGAGCAGAGAGGAGGAGACGAAAAAAGCTTAACGATCGGCTTTACTCTCTTAGATCCTTGGTTCCTAATATTTCTAAGGTAATTAATAAATTAAATTAATTAATTGTCATGATTAATTTGATTTTAATTATTTTTTTTAAGTGGTTAAATTTGTTATGTGTTGCATGCATGCAGTTAGATAGAGCTTCGATTCTTGGAGATGCGATTGACTACGTAAACGAGCTGAAGAAGCAAGCAGAGGATTTACAAATCGAGCTTGAGGAGCGTTCGGACGAAGAGAAGACGACAGGAAAAGACGAAACCGATCAAAACAACGTTGTTGTGACTCAAAACGGAGTTACGAAACGTGGTCCTAATAAACGAGGGCAAGGGAATTTTCCGAACGGTTTTCACAGTAATAATAGCATTAAAGCATCCAAACAGAACTATCGTGAGCAATTAGACGACGCAAATGACAAAGTGCAACAGATGGAGGTAATAATAATAACAATGGCGCGATCTTAATTATGAATCGATTAATTAATTTATTTATTGTGAAAATTTTCAGCCACAAGTGGAAGTGTTCGAGCTAGATGGAAACGAGTTTTACGTGAAAGTGTTTTGCGAGCACAAAAGTGGCGGATTTGTGAGGTTGATGGAGGCGTTGAATTCGTTGGGATTGGAAGTAACGAATGTCAATACGACGAGGCACACTTGCCTTGTTTCGAGTATCTTCAAAGTTGAGGTAACTTTTAAAACCATTTGATATATAGAACTTATATATTTATATTAATTGATCTCTAAATGAAATGTGCATAAATTAAATGCATTTTTATTGCTTCGAATTGTGCGCGATCATTCGATCATGTTCTTGATTAGCTCGGCGTAAATTTTTGCAGCAAGATCTTACATAACAACGAACTTAAAACACCGTAATATAATCGAACTCTTGCTTAAGTACACCATTGAAAGTGTTTATTATATATGAATATAAATGAAATTTGAATTAATTGTAAAAATAAAAAAAATAAAAAACCCTTGTGCTATTTCTATTAGCATAAATTCTTCTGTCATCAAAAGGCATTTGTGACTCCTACAATTTTTGGTTCAAATGACATAAATGCCTTTCGATAAACGGACATAATGAGTCAAGACTTAGGGCCGTTTGGCTAAACTTATTTTAAACAGCTGATAAACTCTTATATTTGATAAATTGTTTTAACAGTTGATAAGATATTATGTCTTATTTATAGAATTATTTTTTAAAGTATTTGGATAATGATATTTATAAGCTATTTTTAACCATTATAAAATCTTAAATAAAAAGTTATGGTAAATATAGTTTTTAGAAGAGATCTTATTTGCTCTCAACTTTTTCATTTTTTTTTTTTGAACTTTTCAGATTTCTTTTTAAAAAATAGCAAACATTTTGGAAACATTTATAAGCTCTTAAACACATTATAAGTTCTTTAACTAACAGCTTATAAGCATAGTCAAACACCCTCTTACATTTTATATCAAATATCTCTCTCTCATAGTTATATTAAATCTCTCTCTCTCTCTCTCTCTCTCTCTCTCTCTCTCTCTCTCTCTCTCTCTCTCTCTCTCTCTCTCTCTCTCTCTCTCTCTCTCTCTCTCTCTCTCTCTCTCTCTCTCTCTCTCGATCTCGATTGATTTTGTTTTGGTTTGTGACAACAGCAAAAGAACAACGAGAGTGTCGAAGCAGATCACGTGAAGGAGTCGTTGCTTGAGCTAACTCGAAATCCATCAAGAAATATAATGTGGGGCATCAGGCCTACTAGTATTAATATCAATGATCAATCAGATGAAGATGGATTAATGATCAACAACAATGATAATATTAATATTAATATTAATATTGATAACGATTATTGTGTTCATCACGACCAGGGAGGCGGCGGCCACCACAACCACCACCACCACTCCTTACTCCACGGCGGCGGCGGCGGGGGCCGCCAAATCAATTCTCACGGGCCACCTCCAACATTAACTACTATTGAATGTTCTTATTTTATTTGATTTTTATTATTTAATTAATTTTCTGTTTAATTAGACAAGCGGAATTAGATACACTGATTTTTATATATCATGCACGCATGTTTCATGGCTTTACTGTCTTCTTCAAAGGCTCCAATCATGTTTCATGGAATTTATATATATATACCTACCTCAAATAACTAATTTATTGTGATTTTTCTTCAAATGTTTTGAAATAACAAAGTAGACATGATTTCATGTGTGGGTTCATTATATTTGAGATACCCTACCTGGTCCTAGTAAACTAGAAAAAAACGCAAGCGAAAATCGATATCATTTGGAGACGTAAAAGTACTATACCACCCTGAACTAAATAAAATCAACGATTAAAATAAAGAATTGAAATTTCGCTTATAGCGAGCGCGCAGTTCCCAACAACACAGCTACTGCAAACACACAACAAATCGGCGAAGATCATTTTCTAAAACATTTATCTCCTATGCAAAACTTTGGAAAATGCCCCATGCATCCTCACCGAAAAATCGCATCGGCGTTTAATTTAACAACCTCTACAACAAAAAAATGGTGAAAAAAGTAAAAGCAAACCGACAATCTACAGGTAATTTTATAAACTGTTGGTTTCGATTAGTACTTACAATTTGGGTGTTTTCTTCACATTCGATATATATTAATTTTTGTAGTATTTTATTGTTCTAAGAAAAACATTGATTCAGTACTGTACAAGCGAACGAAACAAGGCAAATGGCGAAGACATTCAAACCCTGGACACTAGTAGAAATTTGTTTCGCTTGGGCGTCTTTATATTGATTCCATTACTCATCATACATGATGTTCGTGATTTATTTCTACTGGTCAGGAACGAGATCTAGTTCGGGAGGCTATACTCTGCATAAAACTGTGACATTCTTCTCTGATGTGCTACTCAAACAAGAACATTATGATTATCTTCATTGTACCCCATTCATTCCACAGTTTGGTCGTACCATCCGCAAAACAAAAAAACAAAAAAAAATGATAATTACGTTGCTGGAACACAAAAATATGTATGGCATATCTTGAAGACATACAACGCTAAGCAACAATCCTTTTTTTAAATAGGGATAGTTACTGGCACTAGAAGAAAAGGGTCTTTTGACAACACGCGATACGTATTGTTAAACTATATAGACAACACGCGCGTGAATGTTGTAGACCAACATGTTGTTAAAGCATAAGGAATTTAACAACTTGAGCCGTGTGTTGTGGTTCGTATTATAACAACATGCGCATTATGTTGTGATAAGCTAATCACAACATGTATAAGTATGTTGTAACAGACCTTATAACAAGGTACTGTGGCATCTTGTGGTAGAGTTTCGACAACATTTGTTTGCACCTTGTTGAATTATTTATTATCAGAAAAAAAAATATTATCGTAATCATGTACAAAGAAGTCCGATTTTCAATAAATTTCAATCCAATATACACAAAAATCCTTTAAATAAAAAACTATCCAACAATTCTATAATCGCATAGTCAACAATGCACAAACTCCTTCAAAATACACAGTAATAGACATTCAACAATTTTGAGAAACGTTCTAAAAAATAAATAGAATACTTATCGATTGTCAGACAAACAAAATACAAGACTTTATACAGTCACAAAATCATCCACATTTTAATCAAGTCAAAACCGAATTGCCCAAAACGTAGTACGAGATATAAGGCTAAACTAATTCATTACTGTCAAACTTGCCGTATCCTCTCCCCTCCATGCATGAAAGTTTTTCTGCATCAATAAACATACTTTAACTAGCAACACCAGGACAAAAATGAACCAACATAAAAATACAATAACATGTAAGTTTATCGAAATCACCCTTTCTTTAAATACTAATCCACCGATTAATATAATCAAAAGTGTAGTTATATACTTCAAGAAGGTATGTTCAAGGAAAATAAAAGATGCAGTGTTTTACCGTAATCGAAAATACAATATCTTGTAGAATTATTAGATCTTCACTCTGGTCTACTGCAAAAGAGAATGAAACACAAGTCATACTGTTAATAAACATAAATATCAGCTATATAAATAGCATAACAATACATCAAATCAATTTACATGTTCCCAAAATATAAACCAAATTGACTGCACTGCTCAACATTAATTACGATACAAGTGTTAGCATATTTTTAGTCGCCAGTAAAAAATGTTGTTCTTGGGTCGGGTGCAAAATATGTTGGTGCAAAAATTTGGTGCCTGGTCATTTTAATCGGTGAGAAAAAGTATGGGAATGAGAACAAATTAAAAAAAAGATAATAAAATATAATATAACAACAAATCAGACTTTTGGAAAGTTAAGAAACGAATAACACAAAGACGGTACCTTCAACGTATAATTATCTCACGGAGACAACAATTTGTCGTATGTAGTAACAAGACTTGTACATATTGCTTCCACATATTCCTTGAAATGTTGTTCATATTTAACTCTGTCAACAATAATGAAAAGGCACGAGGACAGTGACCGGACACATAAATCCTCTACATTGTATTTATTATAATAAACTGTTATACATTAAGATCCAAAAATCAAACGAAAGTATCAGTTGATATACAAATGAGAAAATAACAAAAGATGATATAAATAGATAGAAAACAAAAACGACATACATATACAACTAGGAATCAAATATAAATTTTTAAAATATATATATATATATATATATATATATATATATATATATATATATATATATATATATATATATATATATATATAATAGACTTCTTCAAATAATGTATCTATGCAATGAACCAATCGACTGCTGAAATTTATCAATTTATTCCTAATGCCTTTGAACTAGGAGAACAAACCATTAACTTTTCCTCAAATTAATTATACATTGATATATATATATTGTCCTGTAATTTAAAATCAAGTACCTGGAACATGAGATTGTCATAATTCTATATAATTGCGAACAAATGACATCCAACTCACATGAGAATGGACAACTGCCCATAGTGTCTCCAACAAATTCTCTGTACATGAAGCCTAATTTCAAGACAAGAATACAATAAAATCAATCCAATTTATTTTGAAGAACAAAATATTAAAAGAAATCGAATTTAAACGGAAGAGATAAAATGGCCCAATCAATTGCAAAACTCAATTTACAGTTTGGAACAAATATATTTTACCTGATACGACGGAGAGGCTGGCGGTGGTAGAGGCGACTATGAAAGGCTGGCCGACGGGGTGGAGACAAAAGAGACAACGAGATAGAGAGAGAAAGTGGATCTGTTAGGGTTTCAAATAAATGCGAAAACAAGAAAAGGAAAATGAAAGAGGAAAAGAAAAGGCGTAAAAAGAAGAGGGAAAGAAAAATTAGAAGAGGGAAATTAGAAAAGAAATATAATGGAAAAGTAAACAAGAGGGAAATCAAAACGAGAAGGGGGAAATTAAAAGTCTTTAAACTTTGGTTGGATAAAATTTGAATAAATTTTACAAGGGCAAATGCAAGTTGTAATACATGATAAATAATGACAACACACGGCGTGTGTTGTAAATAACGTATAATTTGACAAGACGCGAATGAACCTTGTGGTATGTAAATTTAACAACGGGCAAAATTAAAATGTTGTAAAATATTTTCAAGTGTCGCTAATAACAACACGCTTTAAAAGCACGTTGTGATATATGTTAAATAACAACATACTTTTCCCGCATGTTGTTAAACATGTGTTGTTGAAAGTCTTTTTTCTTGTAGTGTGGTTCTCCAATTTCCCTCCTGGTGTCTCAAACCCATGACCAAATATCACAATCGAGACGCAAGAGTGCGAATTGATCTTTGGTGTTTACGTTCTGGAACTAGACGTATGCGTTTCGACATATCGCAACGGCCGCAAACAGGTCTAGTGCAACGGAAATTTGCAGATGTGAAGGACCAACTAACAGAATATATAGTTGGCTGGCGAAGAGCAAGTTGACGTTGAAGACGTAATAAAACTGATAGTCCTAGCTACATCGATTGTGTAACTGCCTCTTCAACACATAACTGAACATAGTAGATTGGTAGAAGTTCGAGTACTACGACAAAATAGACATGATGAATCAATATAATTGGACAAGAAATGTGACATAATTCTTTCTAAACCAAGTCAGGTCAAATGATGCGAGCAAGGTGAAAGGGTGCACACCATTGCTGCTGGTGAGATATGTGTCTACAATCCTATTATACACTATATATACGATAGTAATATATAGTTATGTATTGTTATTTGTAAGTCACAAAGATGCGCAAGTAGTTTACTAATAGATGTCTCATTCACCATTATTGTCACATATAGTAATGGCTATGCGAACGCAACAAGCTGTTGGAGCCTACTGCGTCAACTGCATTCTTGTGATTCATGATCGGTGGAACCTAACAGACCTTGTAACAAAAGCAGACGGTGGAATTCCACCTGAAGAAATAATAGACGTCCAGCTCGTCCATACAAACCGTGAGATGGAGATTTTAACGTACTCGTCGACGATGATGATGATGACAATGAAGCAAATGAACAACATGATGCAGAAAGTCAACTTGACAACGACTTTGGTGTCAAAGCCAGATCTCAAAAATAGTTACGCGAAGATGAAGAAAGGTCTCACCAACAGTCTTGTAGAGAGGAGGCATGCAAACAACAAACTACACAGTTACAGACCAAAATGGCCTCAATGATTGCTTGTATCGAAGCTGAAGCATTGAAAATCAAAATTGCAAATGTCGAATCCCAGAACGAGGACCTCGAACACACACTGCAAGTAACTAAGAAACATTTAGATGAAGAAAAAAACAAAAAATAACCTGACAACTGCAAGACCAATGACAGAAATCGGGTATCGTATAATTGAGCTGAATGCCGATGTCCAAACACTGAAGAGTGTAGAGCAAAAACTGAATGAAACCGTTAAAGCTAAAGATATCAAAATCATCGAACTCGAGGCAAATGTTGAAGCATTTACACAAGCGTTGGACCAAACACTTGCAGTTAGACATCGATTTTGAAATACGAGATGAAGATGTAGTAGCAAGGAATATAAGGCTCTAGCATCTGTGGTGGGCAAGATGACAAGGTCAAAGAAGCCAAAAGTAACACCACGAAGCGTGAAAAAAGGTCAGACGGGACAACTAATACAAGTAATTCAAAACCTACACATATATGAATGAAGATGACATGATAAGAATTGATCTTATTGCTAATGCATTGTATTGTTTGCATCAAGAGTAAGTGCTGCATACATATAATTAATTCTTATAACTTAATCCTACATATTACTAATATTACTATTACATAAAACATTGTAAAACCCTATCATTGTTGACTCCATACCTAATACCATTCAATTATTCGCAGCTCAACATACTGCAGAAATCCAAATGGCACATAATATATCATGATGTCCGACAACTTAGAAATCATAAAGGAATTTGATGTCCGTTCTGTAAGTATTGATAATCAATATTAATATTTCAACGTATACATCCACACCCCAGAGTTATGCTTAAATAACTTTAAGGTCTCTATGGTATCAATAATTACACTCACCCCCTTGAAACGTAGTAGTTATAAACTCTAATGGGATAATGCATTGGATACGTTATTACGATAGAGTTCTAACGGACTATTGGTTTCAGGAAGTGGTGGAGACAACAAAGAGTTATGGATGATTTAAGAAATGATGGGGGAGCCATGTCACCCCATAACTATATGATATCTCCACCACTAGCTAAAAGTTCATTAGAGTTTCTAACTATGTTTTAGAGGAGTAAGTGTAATTATCGATGCTATAGGGACCTTAAAGTTATTTTAGAATTAAACTACTTGAACCAAAGAATAAGATCATGAATCAATCATATTTAGACTCACTTAAATAACCCAATACTTCATTTGAAACAAAAAAATAAAATAAAATACAGTACCACAACACACGTGATGTTCCTTCGTGCCCGACAACCCCATGCTGAGAGTCTGGAGATCCTTGTGTTGTGCACGTGATATGTTCCTTCATACACGACAAAGCATTGAAAATAAAGATTAACGAGTGTTGTTGTCAAGGTCAAAAGAAGTCATTCACAAAAGGGCCGTCCTTAAAAATAGAAACTAGTCAAAATAGGTGGAGAATATATATATCATTTAATTTGGCCATTAAATAATTATTTTCCATGTTATTTTATATATTTCTCTTGTTAGTAATTTTTTTTTTTTCATTTTCCCGAATCTTGAAGTAAAGGTTCGTTTTCCTTTGTTTTAATTTGGTCTAAATATATAATATTTTTATCATACATCAATTTTGGGATGAAATTAGTATCGATTACATGAAAATGAAAAGAAAATATAAACAAATTATTGTTTACCAAATTACTTTGTTTTCTAACATTAAGGTGATTCTATTTATAACATAATAATTGAAAGTGAAAAATCAAGATAACCATAGTAATCCAATTGTTAATATCAAGTTTATTTGCCAAATTATAAAAAGAAAAAAAAAACATATATAGCAAAAATAATTATTTAATGGCCAAATGAAAAACACCCATAAGTAGGGGTTGTAAAATTACCAATTGTCGAGTACCAGTGGTATACCAATCAAAGATTATCCAAGAAATACCAAAAGTAGCGGTTAGCATTTCAGTCGATACGGCATTGGTTTAGTACCGAAAATGGTTAGTACAGTAATAGTATTTGATGATGCTAAAAATAGATCACCTTAAGTAGTTGAGATCGAGGGAGCTGGGAGAGTAAAGTGGATCATTGCTCACGTGCTAGATGACCCTGAGATACCTGCGAACAAAGAACACGTAAACTAGGCCGGGGGTTCATCCGGCAGAAACTCCTCCGACGCTCAAGTCAGACGTGCGGATTGTGGAAATAGTTGAGAGAATACAAATTATAGTATTACTCAAATAATGGGGCGTACCTTTAATAAATGAAATCCGTCGTTATTTATACTTTGACGATTGTGCTGTGGTTAATTTGTTGGGTCAAACCTTATTTGAAGATAATTGGGCTTTTGTAATAGTATTCTTCTAGATCGGGCTCGTGGCCCAGAACGTAGAGAAATAGTAGGCTAATTGGGCTGGCCCAATTAGGCATATCATTAGCCCCCCACTCTCGAGTCGATGTGGGAGCCAAGTCGAAAAGGGTACCAGATCGTGTCGAGAGTAAATCGGTGTTGTAGTGTTACGTTAATCGTTGGCGTAGCGTGGAAAAATAATTATTGTTTACACCTTAGAGAGCGCACACGATTTGGTGAGGCGCGTTGAAGAGCACGCGCAATTTGGTAGAGCGCGTTGAAAATATCGCGCGATTTGGTGAAGCGAGGTGAAATCTACGCGCGATTTGGTGGAAGGGTAACGGCTAGCGAGCCATGAAGCCGCGCTGCGCACTTTATTGTGAGGAGGGAGCCGACACGGAGCCCCATGTGAGAGAGATGAGAGATGGGGCCGCGCGCGGTGGGTGGGAAGGGGGGTGGGGTCAGGAGAGAGAATGAGAGAGAGCAGGGGGAGGGGGCTAAGTGGGGTGGCCACGTGGGTGAGGGGGGGTGGTTGAGAGAAAAGAAGAGAGAGAGAGAGAGGGCGGGGTACCGCGCGACGCGCGTACAATGCATTTTTTTTTTTTTCTATTTCTTGTTCTTGTTCTTCTTTTTCTTCCTTTTTTTATGGCACGTGGCCCGAGGGGCGCGGAATTATAGGTTCTTCATTTAGTCTTCATATTTGGAGTAGATGTGTTTGCCCACTACTATTTCATTTGACGTTTATTCTGTATGACATTGTCATTGGTTTGACGCGTTGCTTGTATGTGTTTACATTTAGTATTATGCGTGATGTACTTAATGAGGGGATCAGACTCTCAAGATTTTTTTATGGGGATCGTGCCCCTTGTTAGACCTCATGGGTCGTAAATATGTTAGGACCGTGACCACGTTTTAAATGTAGGACCCAGTGAAGACAGATAGAGAAGTTTATGAAATCAAGCTGGTCAGGCTAATATAGATTATCATAACATCTCTAAATGCTCCCAGGGTTAAGGTTGACTTGAACAAATAATTATGTAGTGGCAGAACAATAACACCGAGTGTAAGGGAAATAATTTGCTTTATTCATTGCTTGAAAATGTGAAGGTTACAAGCATATTGAGGCGAATGTGACTAAACAAATAAGGAGCGAATCGCTCGAAATAACTAAATTCGTACTAAGTAGCTGATGTAGGGGTTTCGTCCAATTGATGTAGAGAGGTGAGGGGATGTATCATCCTTAAGGTAGGATAGCCCCCCAGTTTAGGATGATGCGATCACTAACAATGTTATGAGCTCCAGAGATTCCGAGTGTCATTGGCATCATTGGAAGTTCAGAGATGTAGAAGGAGATTGTCAATGAGATGTCGACGATTGTCGTCGGCCATCTCGTCGCCGGGTGTTGAATTGATCTTCATCTCTTTTCCACTTGGGAGGAGGGAGAGCCGAAGCCTCTTCGATGCGCACGTGTTTCTCAACGCGACTTAGTAGCTCTTCCAGAGTGGTTGGAGGTCTTCCTGCAATAGATTCCTTGAATCTACTTTCCTTCAAGTTTTGTTGAATGATTCCAGAGAGCATGCTTCCTCCCACGTTAGGAACTTTGTGAGCTGCCTCTACAAATCGTTGAATGTAGTTGCGGAGGGTTTTGCCCTCTCTCTGGGTGATAGTGAAGAGGTACGCGGGAGTCTTAGCGTACTCTTTATTGATAGCGAAATGATGGGTGAAGCGATCTGTTAGTTGGGAGAGAGCTTCAATTGACCCAGTGGGCAAGGAGTTGAACCAGCTCAATGCTCGTTCGGAGAGCGTTGTGCGAAACATCTTGCACATCGCCGCATCAGTTGGGCCATATAGATCTGCCATAGCGTAGAACTTTTCAAGGTGCTCATGTGGGTCACTAGTTCCATCGAACTGCGGTAGACTCGAGACCTTTACTCGTTGGGGTAGTATCTCATTGATTATTGCGACAGTGAAGGGACTGCACCTTATTGGAGGTATTGCCCTTCCACCAATAGGATTACCTATGTGGGGGAGGTGATTCGAGCGAGATATCCGACTGTTAATTTCATCATCTCCAGCATTGTGTGGAGGTACTCGTTGGCGAGAGGCGTTGCCTCTTGAAGGTGAACGTGGGACTTGTCGCCCGGTTCGTGCATTATGGCGATGAGCAGATTGTTGCATTCGAGACCTGGGGTCTGAGGAGGATGTAGTATCCGGTGGCGGTGGAGGTCGTTGTGCCACGGGTGGAGATGCCAGGGGAGCGTTGACTCCCGTTGTGGCGATGTATTGTGCCACTGTTTCAGTGGCAGCTCGAGCTGAAACTTCCGCAATCATGTGTTGGAGGGCCTCTTTGGTTATTTGAACCGTTCGAGGAGCAGGGAGTGGTGGATCCTGTGGGGGATTTATCTGGACCTCATGAGGTGGATCCTGATTACGAGGAGGAAGTGGCAAGCCAGAGCCTCCACGAGATGGAAGGTTGTTAGCATTGGCATGTTCCCTCCGAGTAGATGACTCATGGACATCATGCTCGCTACGTGATCTTGTATGCTTTCCCACAGACGGCGCCATTATGATGATGCTAAAAATAGATCACCTTAAGTAGTTGAGATCGAGGGAGCTGGGAGAGTAAAGTGGATCACTGCTCACGTGCTAGATGACCCTGAGATACCTGCGAACAAAGAACACGTAAACTAGGCCGGGGGTTGATCCGGCGGAAACCCCTCCGACGCTCAAGTCAGACGTGCGAATGTGGAAATAGTTGAGAGAATACAAATTATAGTATTACTCAAATAATGGGGCGTACCTTTAATAAATGAATTCCGTCGTTATTTATACTTTGACGATTGGGCTGTGGTTAATTTGTTGGGTCAAACCTTATTTGAAGGTAATTGGGGTTTTGTAATAGTATTCTTCTAGATCGGGCTCGTGGCCCAGAACGTAGAGAAATAGTAAGCTAATTGGGCTGGCCCAATTAGGCATATCAGTATTGCATTCTCAATATCATGGTAATATTGTATGGTATCATACCTACTATTATAGTATATTTTGTAATTTCATTTTTTAATGTTTTCGTTTATTTTCTATAACATAGTATTTATAAATTTATTCAAAAAATATTTCTAATACTTTATTTTCTGGTAAAATATATTTTGCAACCTGTACTCTGCGAAATATATCATTTATCACATAATGTATAGAAAACATCAAATGCCCCCTTTATTTTTTACGGTCAATGGTTAAACTTTTAACGATGTTAAATTTGGGTGTACAATTACTTTTTACCCCACTTTATGCTGATAGAATCCCTTAATTCTTTTCTATGTTGTTTCACTTTCTAGGATTGTTAACGATTTTTAGGGTTCTTGTGGTTTTTGTCGATTCTACTGTTTGATTTTAGGGGTTTTCAGTTTTCTTTTTTTGGGGGTTTAGCGATTATAATATGAAAAACTTTGTTTTTAATTTGCATTCTTTCAAATTAGGGTTTCATTTCAATTTTAGAGTTTCTTTTAGATTTTAGGGATTTTCACTTTTCTTTTTTGTGGGTTGTGCATTCATAATCTGCAAAGTTTCATTTTTATTGATTCGATTTTTCAGTTATTTTTAAAAGGTTTGAAAAAAATTACAAATGTCTGAATAAAGTGAGTACAAAAGGGTGAAAAGAGTGAACTTTTTGACAAAAAATGGCCAAAAGTAAGTTTAGAGATTCTTGGGGTATTTTCGTAAAAAAAAAAAAAAAAACCAACAACTTTTTGCAGCAGTAAGTCAAAGGGTTTATCACCCCAAAATTGACAATTTTTTTTAATTGACAATTTTTTTTTTTAATCAAATTTTAGCTTAATAAAAGATAATGATAGAATACCGTGTAGCACGGTATTGTTACGAAGTAACGGTATATCACCCCGATTTGTTCGACCCTACACCCGGTGAAAAACACCGGG